TTTTCTTAAATTGTGGTTTAATATTGAAAAATATAACCTATGCAAACAATAGCTCTCTATAGGTCCTCTACCATTTTTAAATATGGGAAGGGGTCCTGAGAAAAAACAGGTTTAAGAAAGGCTGGTCTAGATATGGATATTAAAAAACATGCATTCAGTGGCCCAATTTGCTATCTTTGCCACCTGCTTGTGGTAAATCTGAAATTGTCTGCCAAGTTTCATCTTTCATTTAACACATGACAATCATAAGGTTTCTTTTTCTTCATTTTTATCTCACTTTCTTTGGCCTCATTTTCTGTCACTGAATCTGATTGGATGCGGATGGCACACTGCTATGTATGATATGAGGAATTTGTGTTATAAATAAAACAACCTTTCACAATCACAACTAATGGCAATAAGGGCAAATGACATGAAAGAGTGTGAAGGCAAATAATTAAGGAAAGGTGGCAGGCGGCATTAATGTCAGGCAGATGCCTTTCAGTGGTGAATATTATTCATTGTGGGAATACATTCAGGCAGCTAAATGGTTATAATACAAGAGTATGAAGGAAGAGGAAGAGGAGGCGGAGGAGGAGAAGTATTTTTGAAAACAGATTGGAAGGAAAGTCTGCATAGAAGAGTGAGAAGAAGACTATGCATTCATTGATAGACCTATATAATTTCCAATTCCTACTGCTAACCTGTTGGAAGTGGAGAAGCAACCAAAAGAGTTTCTGGGCTGTCAGTAATGGGTGGAGCAATAATGCAACCTCATTACACACAGAGGTAGAATGATGTGCGGTTTTTTTTCCTGAAATTGTGGGAAGGTTTTTTTTCTTTGCTTTTTGGGGCTGTATTATCTCTGTTTTCAGATTTCCACAACAGTTTTGGAGTATTTATCTTTCCAAAATGATGGGATTTATTTGATTTCTGGCAATTAGAAGAGAGTTACTTTGAGAGAAAAGACCATGTTCAGTGGTAGTAGTTTCTGGTATCTTCAGTTTGAACAAAGGTTCAGGGGGCAATTGGAGCAAAAGGCGCCTCAGCCTGAAACCCTGGTTAATTATTCTGGTTACTGGAAGCAAAATTTGGCAAATATTTTTATTCAATCATTCATTTTTCAAATAGCTCTGGATGGCTTATAAAATATATGTGTGAATGTGCCTCTGCATATATCTATATACTATAAAAACTCTTGTGTCTGTAACGTTTAACTGGGAAAAATGGTGCATCATAGGGCAACACCTTTTCTACCAAGGTTCCTCAAGTGAACTAACTTAGAGAATGTTGGGACCCGTTTCTCCAGTGGAAATGGAGGTTTGGAAAGTTCTTGCCATTTCAGTGCTGCTACACAAGGCAGTTAGGGAAGTTGTAAGCTTGCAGGTAGAAACTCAACTGGGACCACAGGATCCCAACTAGTGCCAGGAGTGTAGCAGTTGGCTTTGGGGTAATGAAATAGATCCAGAAGGATGACTCAATGGGTCACGGATCATCTAGTAACAGAAAAAGCTTAAATTATGGTATAAGGCAATGTTACAGATTTAATTAAGCTGCCATTGCTTAATTAAGCATCAAAGTTCAAACCTCCTTGTAGATTTTCTACATCACTTCCATCATTTTAGACTGCTTCCTGGCCAATTTTTCAAAGAAATATTTCTGATACAGATTAGTAATGTGCAAAATGGTGTTTGGTGTGCAAAGTCACCATCTGGAAGTGTTTAAAGTTCAAAATAGAAGTCTGTCAACTAAACATGTTTTGTACACTCTTAAAGGATCATTTTTGCTTTGATGTTATCTTCATGCTATTGAAATTACCTTTGCTGAAATGGGTGCTACATACATTTAATAAGTAAGTACATACATAAGGACATTGAATAGAAGAAAGCCTTGAATGGAGGCATCATTAGAATTCAAATATTTTGGGAAGGAAATGGTAAAATAAGAACTATTCATAGCTGTTTGCACTATGCTTACCACTGCAACACATATTTGATTCTAAGTGCTTATGGTATCTGTCCACCCATAAAAAGTGATCAAGCCAGAATAATAGAAGTATAAAAATGCAATTATTATTATGAGGAATTGAAGCTGAGGTAGTTGTCTCTGCTTGGGAAAGCAGTTGTAGCCAGGTAGAAATGGTTCCCACCCAACTTCCCCAAAGCCCAGTAAAGCTCCTGTTTTGCAAAGGACTGTAAAAGTTTACAGCCTGAGAAACCTGAGAGATGGACTCATGCATGCATTCATTTACTTATAAGGATCCATACTTGTGTTCTAGCTGCCTGGCTAAATGAGCCACACCTTGGCATTTCCAAAGACATTCTGATGTCCAGAAGCAACTGTATTCCCATCCAGTCCCTTAGCTTACAAATGGTAAAATGAAGTGTGGATGTGTGGGTGGTAGCGGGATGTTGTAGGAAAAAAGGAGATAGCAAACAGCTTACAAGTGAAGAAGCAGGAGATGACATCTAAAGACTGACAGATGAATATCAAACAGACCAACTGCCAGGACCACAAGCTACAATAAGCAGCATTTCTTGGTGGGATTCCTGCCTGAAGCTTGGCTTCGGAGCTCCGTTGGGATGCTCAGAAGCAGCTCTGATTAAGAGCAGAACTTGGACCCTGACCTGGAGCTTGGCAGCATCTAGAAGAGGAGCAACCACATTGAAAGCATTTTATCCCAAGTAGTGCAAGAACTTTTGGAAAAAGGCAAAGATTGCCTGCTGCTTTATGGACCTTGAGAATTTAAACTGAATATTAAAAGACTGCATATAAAGGGCTGAATATTAAAGACTTACTTACATGGCAACTTCATCTTGCAAAGCCTAGAATTGACTCAAAAGAATAGCCTGTTGTTGGGCTTCCTCACCCCCTGTACTTAAGGGTGGGATTCTCCTGGTTCAGACCGGTTCAGGTGAACCCCTTGTTCAAACGATCCGCTGGCTCAGAACCGGTTCGCTCTGATGAGCATATGGGCCTGCCCATCCACCCCTGCCTTTCCTGTGCTTTATGTCTTTTTGTTAGAGCACAGCTGATTTGTGTGGCAGAGCAGTTTGCCGTGCCTCAGCTGTTTTCTTCAGCTGCAATTGAAGATAACTATTAGCTTTTTTAAATGCGAAGCACACATGCACAGTACATGCTCACTGAACTGGTTGTTATACCGGTTGAATTGCCCCGCTGTGCATGCTGCAATAAAGCATTGTGCACAGCTTTGTTACACTGTGTTTTGTCCAGTCCTTGGAAAGCATAGAACCCTCACATTTATGAAAAGATAGTTATTTTTAACAAGGCAACTTAATAGTCTGATAAGTATTGAAAAACTTGAATGTCTTTCCTTTGGTTGCTTTCTTGTTGACCAATTGGCAGTTAACAGCACCTGTTATGTATGCATGCATGCATGTATTTGCAATCCAAGCACAATAATATGTTCCAAATTGATTGATTGGCTTAGTGATTTGATGAGAGCCTCCCTTTATTGGGCCACAAGCATGAAGAGCTGTTTGGGAAGAATCCTTAGCAAGAGAAAGAGGAATGGATCTGAAACCATCTCAGAATTCTGCTCAGTTGGAACATTCCCTTCCCGTCCCCTTCCCTCCCCCTTCTTTCCCCTCCCCTCCCCTCCCCTCCCCCTTCTCTTCCCCTTCCCTCCCCTCCCCTCCCCCTTCTCGTCCCCTTCCCTCCCCTTCCCTCCCCCTTCTCTCCCCTTCCCTCCCCCTTCTCTTCCCCTTCCCTCCCCTTCCCTCCCCCTTCCCTCCCCTTCCCTCCCCCTTCTCTTCCCCTTCCCTCCCCCTTCTCTTCCCCTTCCCTTGCCTTCCACCACTAACTGCCCTGTGTGAAGAATCCAAAAGCAGAAAGAGAGGGAGGAAGGCACAGATTATCCTAAAAACATGAACTTTTCGACACCTAAGAATCTCTGTAAAAAGAGTAAAGAAGAAAAGTGAAATCTATCCTATAAACCTGTTCAGTTGGAATCTGCCTTCCCTTCCTCTCACCCCTATTATGGCTGTTGTATTTTAACTTTAAATAATAATATTTTTTACAATGTTTATATTGACTATAATCTGCAAGTTGAAAATCATTGTGATAAGTAAACAAATGGTTCCAAAATATGTATAATTCTCCATGAATTGATTGAACAAAATCTCTACCCTTTCTAAACAATGAACAGTAAATGTAAGGTTTGCAAAAAGTAATTATCATAGGAGATGATGTCTTGCTGTCTAAAAAATCATTAAAAACATTTTGACATGTTCTCCTTGGTTTTTATGAACGCTTATGTTCTTCATGTTACCATCCCACTTGAAATGTGATCTTTAACTCACAGAATTCCAAGACAGGACAGCTACTGGAATTCAATTGGTACTAGATTGGGTGTTTGGATTTGTTATTTGGTGCCTAATAAACTCATTCATCGGGCACCATTTATGATGGAAACTCATTCATACATAGGGGGACCTTCTTTCATAGGGAAGGATCCTATATCTATTTACTGATGCTTTCAGAAAAGATCTCAAAGTGGTCAATTAGTGCATAAATTCCTACTGCTGATCATATGAGAGCAGAAAAAGACTAAAATATACTAAAAAGATTCCCACATCACTATAGTAACATATGCATTAATTGAACTATGGCTCTGGTCATTTTTCTAATTTTTAACTCATTAAATAATGAATTGATTTCTTCTGAGAGAGGAATCCCTTTTTTAAATAATTTGCATGTTTTTTGTCATGTGGCAAAATAATAATATCCTATTACTTTTAATTCTTAACAGTATCCTACAAAGACTTCTCTCTTTTTGCCACTATCACTACCTTTGTAGTTGTCATCATTGCATCTGATGATATAATCATATTTTCCCCAGGTATTGTATGTATTAGTTTCAGAGCTTGGAAATGCAATAGGTCTTCCATATAATCAATAAGCAAAAGAAAGACACATAAATCATCTCCTATGGGCACATTTATTGTGTTAAAAAAACAATGGCTTTCAGAAATTTAACCTGCTTTCTTTGTTATAATCAGGATCCAACCCATGTAGTGAGTCCAGTTATTGATATCATCAATTTGGACACCTTTGCTTATGTGGCAGCTTCTTCAGATCTAAGAGGAGGTGAGTTTGTAATCAACCATAGACTCATTGTAGTTTCGACAAGTATATGAACAAAACGTATAAAAATGCTGAGTGGTGTGGAATTAAAAGAGCCATTCTGATAAGTATTGTTCATCATATGTAAATGAAATTACCTTTTTAAAAATGAGTAAATCACACACAACTTAAAATTTTAAATTTTATCCCCCAAGAAACCTACAGATGGTGTTCCTCTAACATGATATATACCATCATCTGCCAGCAATGCTCTTTTGGCTTCAATATCAGAATATTGCTACTTTTTCAATTTCTCAAAATAACATCGTTAGCAATATCCGAAGTCCACTACAGCTATAACCAGGCATTCAGGAATTTGAACTCACTTGGTGAGATCAATAAACAAATCAATAGTCAAATCAATTCTCACAATTTGGGAACCACAAAAAGCAAACACCACTAATTATCACCTACAACTGACAGCTCAAGGCACTCAATACTTTAATAATTCACAACCCAAACTGGACAATGTGTTTTAAGGCACTGATTGGCAAACACATTTGGATTCAAACCACCATCCAACTGAAAGCAGCTTCTTGCAACCAATCAGAAACAACAGGAATCTCAAGCTAACATAGGAATCAGACCCCATACTAAATCTATACTTACATCACTGGCCGCAACAATTTTATCCCTCAAGACGTTTACAGATGGTGTTCCTCTAACATAATATGTAGCATCATCTACCATGCTCCTCTGGCTTCCATGTGCTACAGAATTTACACAGAAGTATTAACAGACACAAGTTTGACATAAGGACTCCAAATATAAACCAAGTCAACACAGCATTTAAATTTAATTTAACTTAATTTAATTTATTCTATTCAGCTTCATACTGATTCTTGGTAGTGTAAACAAAAGCAACAAAATAATAAAAACCTCTTCTGTTCAATTGTGTCTGTTTTTTGGAGACTACCTGGACAAGTCCTTGCAATTTTCTTGGCAAGACGTTTCAGAAGTGGTTTGCCATTGTCATTGCCAACTTCCTAGGAAAAAAAAAAGAGTGGCTTATGGTCACCCAACTGCCTTTGTATCCAAAGCAGGTCTTGAACTCTTGCTCTCCTAGTTCTAGTCTGATGCTTTAATCCAGGGGTCCCCAATCCCAGAGCCATGGAACCACACAACTGGAGTTGATCAGTAGGCAAGTAAGCAAAACCAAAACTATCCCACCCGCCCACTTCTGGTCTGTGGAAAAATTGTCTTCCGCTAAACTGGTCCTTGGTGCCAAAGACTTTGAGGGCTGCTGCCTTAATCACGATATCAAATTAGCTCTCATAAAAAGTAGGTTACAATAATGGTTGAAAAAAATAAAAATAAACAACCAACCAGAGCTGGTGGCAAATCTGGCTAATCACCCCAACCCCAAATCTGGCAATTCTTCAGCCATTGTAACCCAAGGAGAACAGCCAGGTCTTTAAGACTTTCCAGAATGCCAGAAAGACGAGAGAAATAAAAAATATTGGGAATCTCATTACAAAGGGCAGGCTCCGCTACATAGATAGACCACTATTGGGTTCCAAATAGATGACTTCAATGATTTTAGCACTCCAGCACTTTCAGATCACATGACATAGGCACTCCATAAATTAATCAGTCATAGCCAGCACCTTGAATCACACCTGCAAATATACCAGTAACCAGAACTCTGCTCCCAAACCAGTGGTGTCATATGGGCCTACCTGGAATGTCCATCACTGCTCATACTCATTAAACTGTGTGGTGCACTGGTTAGAATACAGTACTGCAAGCTACTTCTGCTGACCGCCGGCTGCTTGCAGTTTGGCAGTTTGAATCTCACCAGGCTTAAGGCTTCATCCTTCTGAGGTAAAATGAAGATCCAGATTGTTGGGGGCAATATGCTAACTCAAAACTACTTAGAGAAGGCTGTAAAGCACAGCAGAGTGGTATATAAGTGTATTGCTATTGCTGGACCATTTGAAGCCATCCCACATAGAGTGCATTGCAGTAGTTCAGCAATGTAATGACTGCTATATGACTGGTATATGACTGACTGAAGGACCTCCTGATCTGAGAAAGACTACAACTGCTATATCAAATAAAGCTGTGCTGTGAAGATGCAGATGAAGCTGTGAAGTTGTAGAACTGGAGCTGTGAGTTCAGGAATATTCTAAGATTGAATACCATTATTAAATGGGAAAGTGGACCACATCCAAGGTTGAAGATGGAATTTCTTCAGTTCTAGGTGGTAGGTCAAGTCAGAAGATGATTCTTTTAGGAATGGCACTGAGGCAGAAACTTATCAACCTCACTCAGCCAGCCTCCCAGGACACTCCATCACAGATCTTAAATTAGCTATTTTGGAACAATTAGTGGAAAGACTGCTAAATATCAAAATAGCATTATAACAAGCACATTATTTTTTAGTGCATTACAAATTGTTAATTGATGACACACTTGTAATCTTTCCCCATGTGACATTCATCTGCATAACCACTTGTCAAGTAAGTTTAATCGATTTTGTTACTCTGAAAAGTAACTACCAAACTCCTGGTTGTTATTATTATAACTTAAATAATGGCCTTGCTTGAAAGTTCATGATTGCAACTGTTTAACATCTGTTCCTTAATATTTTTCTATGCATTTCATATTTTAGGATTTGACTGGAGTCTTCATTTTAAATGGGAACAACTTTCTCCAGAGCAAAAAGCCAAGCGAACAGATCCCACAGAGGCCATCAAGTACGTGACTAGATTAAAAATAGGAAACTCAAAGCAACCCATGATCTTTTTTGAAGTGGGAAAGGGTCAATTGCCTACTGAGGAGAGTGCCAGCTGATTGTTGACCCTAAGCACGCTAAGCTATTGGAAATCTTTTCTGAAACTTCAGTTGAAGGAAGTCTAAACACACATATTTAACCATTGTTTCACGAGAACATTTTCGATTACCAATACTTTTACTAATTAGAAGCAAAAGAAGCATACAAAACACAATGGGATACATGCAGCACTGAACAAGTTGTATTTATGACTGGTGCTCAGTCCCAGCACCTTCACAGTCATATGTTCATGATCTGGGTGCTTGATAATCAGCTTGCACCTAAGATGGTTGCAATGTCTCGCAGTCATGTGATTGCCATTTGTGACCTTCCCTATCAGCTTCCCACAAACCAAGTCAGTTGGGGAACCGGTAGGGAAGGTGACAAGTTGCTCTGGTAAATTGTTCACTCTTCCCCTGCACCTTGCTAGCCATCTGCACTCCCTTCCCTACCCAGCTGCAGCCATGTTCAGCTGCACTCATGTCGCATTTTCTTTTCTTTTCTTTTCTTTTCTTTTCTTTTCTTTTCTTTTCTTTTCTTTTCTTTTCTTTCTTTCTCCATCTCTCACAATGTGACTGGACACGGAACGAATTGCCATAAAAATTATTTTTAAAACAATCAAACATACAAAAATATTATAAAAGGGTAAGAGAGAGCATCAATTTATAAACAATGGAGCCATCTAATCAAATTAACGTTCCTTTGCAACCTCCAGGCCTGTTGACACAACCAAATCTTAAAGGAATTTCAGAAGATTGGGAGAGATAGGGTTCATTTCACCTTGAGGGGGCAGGGTGATGTTTCACAGAGTCGGTGCTATGGCTCACCTCCTGGCTCCTGTCAGATATAACTCCTTTACAGATGAAATACACAATGTATTTTTTCTGCCAGAAATCAGGGCAGATGTAATCTGGAAGAAGTGGTCCCCTCAAACAGTCCAGCCCCGAAGCATGGAAGGCTTTAAAAGATAAAATGTAGCACCTTGAATTGGACCTAGAAGCAAACTAATAAGAAATGCAGCTTGTGTAGCAAAGATGTAACATGTGCTTCTCTAGGGGTACACAACTGCTGAAGCTTCTGGATATTTTTCAAGCAAGCATTCAACATCACCATAGTCCGGGAAGTGACTACAGCATAAGTGATCCTGAGGAGACTCCCAATCCAGGATGGAGTGCAATTGATGGACAACACTAAATGGTGCAATGGCCCTCCTAGCCAATTCTGTTACCTACTCTTCAAAGTAGGTGTCAACAAGTCCAGGAGCAACTCCAGGTTGCGTACTTGGTGTGTTCTAGACAGTGCAACTCAATCCAATATCAAAGATGCTATCTTTGCCCCAGAATCGGCATGCTCCGAAACCCAGAACCACAGTCTTGCCAAGACTCAGTTGAAGCCTGTCATTTCCATCCAGTCCCCACTGTCTCTAGAAATTGGGATAAGACATCGACAGCATACCTTAATTTGTCAGGGATAGAGATATAATTGGATATCACCAGTGTACTGTTGATACTAACTGGTAATGTATGAGCTCACCCAATATTTGTATACATGCACACACACATGCACATTCAAACACACACAGAGAGAAAATGGCATTTCTGAACTTTTTTATTAATCACAGTTTAGAAGTGCTGAAAAATCCCTTTGAGACAGCAAACAGATGACTGAAGAAAGTATGTACCACACAAAGTGGCTGGCATGGCAGGCATAGAGCACAATTTCTTGTGCATCTCATCTTACTCAGTATTCCTTTTTTTACCTTTGTTCTCAGCTAATCAAGAGGAAAGGGGAGAGAGGAGGAATAGCCATTTTGAAATCAAAATTGAACCAATTACAAAGGCCTCCTGAATAAGTGTTGTCCTCCTAAATAAGTGTTACTCCCTCAATTAACATGAGGCTTCTATCAGGACAGGTACAGAGCCCCTGTGAAATAAATGTCTTGTAAATAGCCCCCAAGGGCTAAATGCATTTTTAGCTTGTAAAGCTATAATCAGGGCTGCAAACTTCAGGCTGGTAGGGGTTGTGCTGATAAATGCATTAGCCACACATTGCATGCTGGGGGAAAGTTATGACAGGAAAATACCAAAAGCTTTTAAACCATTACTTGGACCCATCAATATTTGTATGCAGGTGGAATCTTTTTTTGGATCACAGACTGCATTGAGTCAGGGCTAATATTTTAAGGGACCAAACATCCATCATGAGATAAACTCACAACGCTTAGGCAAGATCCCTGTCATCTACTTCTTAAAAATTCACTTTTGTGGACATCTGAAAATCCACATAAACTTCAGTTACATAAATGAATTAGGGGAACTTGTCAAATTCCTGCAAGCTGGCAGGAATAGCCAACATGCAGAAGATAGGCTCAAGATCTAGAAAGATCATGACAGATCTCACTGGGCCCTATCTTACAAAATTAAATTCAACATAGAGAAAAACAAAGGTTTTGCACTAACTGTGGGAATCATCTTGAATTCCTAGAGCAGAGGTCACCAACCTGTGGGCCACGGCCAATTTGCATGATTAGCTATTTCACATACCTATTTTTTTCTGCAGAAGAATTGAAATTATATCTTTCTTCTTTCTTTCCCAACCATTCAGGACTCCTATCATTGCTGGGGGGCTTTTTGTGATTGACAAGGCCTGGTTCAACCATTTGGGAAAATATGATGCTGCAATGGACATCTGGGGTGGAGAGAATTTTGGTAAGTCACTACAACTTTGCAGTTGTTGGCAAAGGTTTTTTAAAAGAATTAAGGGGAGAGTTTTGTAGATCTGGATTTAAGAGCCTGTATAATAAAGTGGTTAAATGTTGGACTGGCACCAGGGAGTCCAAGGTTCTACTTTACCTTCTGCCCTCATCTGCACACTAGGTTTAAGGAATGTAGACTTGGCCTTGGGAATGGGGAAGGCATGAGTGACTCATTATCAGAAGACTTTCAGAAAGATGACTTAGTGAGAAAGAAGAAAATGTGAGAAAGAAAATCAAAATAGCTCCACTTTCATTTTATTTGGTATAAGATGAGGCAGGAAGAAACTCTGACCAGCTTTTAAGATTGCCCTGCAATTATAAAAAGCATCCCTGGAATTATGTTTGTTTCTTGACTATGCCTACTTCAAAGAGCCTATACAGAGCGACGTGGGCCAGGTATCTGCCTCAGCCCAAATCACCTTGTAGGATTATTGTTGTGGGGAAAAATGGGAGGAGGGAGGATTATTGCTGCTAACTATGCCAGTTTTCACCCCTGAAAAGAAAGTAGGACATAAATCTAACCCATAAATATCAGTGAAAAAAAATATCTTCTCTGCATAATGGGAGGTTTGAATGTTTAGATTCCTCATGTTCTGTGGTTTTTAGTTCCACTGTTGATGAGATATTTTTGTTTTTAATCCACCATACACATTTGGAAAATTATGTGCCACTCAGAATCAGTGGGATTGGAGAAGCTTATCAGCCCTGTAAATCAATCAATCAATCCCAGTTATGATTTGCCAGAATTCAAAATGAACAAACTGTTTCGGTGCCTTTGTTAAAGTGCGATCAGTACATTCAAAACTCCATTATTGCCAGTTCCTTTGTAATCCATTGACAAAACTGGCTACTCATGTGAAGAAGCAGAGAGTCTTTTAGGAAGAAGACAGGTGAAGGAAAAAAAGGTTAGATGCTTCTGGTACTGCCACAACAGCAGATGCTGAGAAATTTTAAGAGAAAGAAATGGGCCATAACAGAGTTAATTCAGAAGGTCTGGTAGGGGTTTCCCATGGGATGCCTCTAATTAGTGCAGTATATTGTGCTAACATGTCACCTGACAGAACTAGCTGTTCTTCTGGGGAAAACTTTTTATTGTGGCCATGGGAGGGCCTGTTACATGGGTGGATTCTTAGCATCTGTTGTGTTTTCTGGATGGTTTATGCTCTGACAGCATTTTTTGTTTGTTTTTAACTCCCTGGTACCCACAGGGAGCACTTCAACATCTAAGTCAATAAAGGGAAGTTAGAAGCAATAAATCCAGGCAAGGGCTTGACTGGGTGCATCATGTTCCAAGGGGGTAATATTGCTGCTCCTTTCAATCTGCTCCTTTATTTTGACTTCTGGCTTATAGGAAACAAGCGTGCGTGCCAGCCCACATTGCTCAATTCTTTTGGCTTAGCTCAAAAATGCCAATTGGTTTCTAAGCTACATACAAGATTCTAGCATTAGACTAGTCTTTACAAAGCCCTCAGTGTCTTGGCCCTTTGATGTCTTCAGGACAAATCTTCCATATGTCCTTCCCCATATACTTCAGCTGACAGCTGGGGCATTAACATTAGATCTTTCAGCAATAAGAAGGCAGGCAGGTAGCTGCTGTGAAAAGCCTTTGTGGGGTTGGGCTATACTCAAGAGAGCAGAAAATTTTCCATGTACAGATTATTTAGGTAGTTCACAAAAACATAGTTCTTTCACAAATATTTCATTGAGAATTAATGGTCTATATTTTATTTTGGCTCTACAGTATTGTATAGAAGCTTCAGAACTTGTTGTTTGTTTGGATTTTGAAGACTATTTTAAATGGTCTTGCATTTGCAGCTTGCTTCAAATATTGTTTGCTACCCAGAGAACCTTTTAAGCACTAGGTCAGTGGTCCCCAACCTTTCTGGCTTGACGGCTCAGCTTGGGGGCTGGGGGGGGGATAAGTGAATTTCTCTAAGAAATTCCAAGATTCTTGAAGGGGAAAGGTAGTGACATTTGCTGCTGTTGTGCCTGCCTAGAAGGGTTGATCAAATTGTGTGGATTTTTATTGCTGCTTTTATTTGTGGCTGCAACAATGCTACAGAACAGAGGAAGCTAACGGTGCTACAGCTTTGAAAAAGGAAGGGAGGCATGGAGATAGCAGAGAAACTGATCTTAAGCTGGCACTAATACTTTGACACCTCAAGGGAGTGTGGTTAGTAAGGAAAAATAATCCCTGTCTTCATAGATGCAACAGCTTAGTGAGCCAGTGAAACAGATGCTCCTGTTCTGTGGCAATCCCATCCGTTGTCTCCCTCTTTCCTTGAAGTGTTGCACATTAGTGTGTTATTATACAGTACATTTTCTTTTTTTTAATAAGCAGGGATTGTGTATACAAATAGTTGTGGGGCATGCTGCTTCTTGATGAATTGTCCTTTTTGACTGAAATTTCCTGTCACCAAGGAAATCAAGGTCATATAATCAAGCAGTCCCCAAAGTATCAGTGCTAAAAATGGAAAACCAACCTGCCCTTTTGTGTTTGTGTAATGGAACTGCCCCAATAGCCTGAAAAAGAAAAAAGGAAGCTTGCTGGAGTCATGCAGGAAGAACATGCATATGGATAACAGGCTTGGGGATCAATGCAAAGCAATGACTGTGTTTTATGATCATGATTTATCACTTGTTGTTTGTATGTACACTGAAAGCTTATTACTGGAGACAAATTCCTTGTGTGTCCAGTCAAGAATTCTATTCTATTCTATTCTATTCTATTCTATTCTATTCTATTCTATTCTATTCTATTCTATTCTATTCTATTCCATTCCATTCCATCCCATCCCATCCCATCCCATCCCATCCCACCTCACCCCACCCCACCCCATCCTACCCTATTCTACCCTACCCAACTCTACTCCACTCCACTCCACTCCACTCCACTCTATGAAACAAATCTGGAAAGATAAAGCATGGTTCTTTTTTGAAAAAAAAAGAAGAATACAATCTCCTGTTGAAATCTTCTGTAAATTCAAAACAAGAACCTATAATAAAAGAATTCAACTTTCCTATCTCAACAGGGACAGGACAGAAAAAAGTACTGACAATTTTCAGCTTTGGTATTGGAGAAAATTGAGAGAGGTAGAAGGAAAGAAATAGGATGACCATCAGTAAGATGTCTGGACTCCATGATTTTGGCAATAGTCACTCTGTGGGAAGATCTAAAGGGCCAAGCTAGGGACAGATAAGCCTGGATAAGAACTGTCTGTGTGGTTGTTAAAGGTCAACACCAACTTGATGGCATGTAACCAATCAGTCAATCAATGAAAAGTTCCCTTCAAGTTTTAATAACTGTTATGTATTAGCATACTTACCTGCAATTGGTCGGTCCGTGGTAGTGGGAATTTTGAAGAGTCATCACTGGCCACAGCCGCGAGCAGCCCGACTATAACAAGGGCTGCCGTGGTTTCTTCGTCTCTCAGTCCTATACGGAAGTAAAACAGATTGAAATTATGCTGGTGTTCTGAATCTCATTCCCGCGACTTAACACTGGTGACGAAGGTGGGATACTGAGACAAAGGGAACCAGCTAGCACGTGGCAACCAATGAACACCGGCAACACATCAAAGCGACATGGCCGGAAACAACACACCATCCCGCACCATTCGACCCAGCAACCGAAGACTGGGAATCGTACATCGACTGATTCCTCATGTTCCTCAAAGGAAGCAACCTCCATAATGTATCTGAAAACAGGAAGAGAGCTGTATTCCTAGCCCGTTGTGGTCCAGCGGTATTTAAGATGGCCAAAGCATTAGCCGCATCCACCAGTGTGAAAACGATGGCCTGGCCAGACCTGGAAAATTACTGAGGGCTCACTACACACCAACCGTTTCCTGCTTAATCAAAAGACATGAATTTTATCGACATGATCATAAAGAAGGTGAGAGCATCGGCGATTTCATTGCAACACTGCAGGACATCGCCAGAGCAAGTGAATTCCTAAACTTGGATGAAGCCATGAGGGACCAAGTGGTCCTGGGACTGAGAGACCTTACACTCCAGGGCCAATTATTAACAAAGCCCAAAATAATGCTAAAAGAAGCAATAGAGGAAGCTACCGCAGCAGAAGCAACACAGAAATCAGTGGCCGCCATGCAGAAGACGAACAAAGTGACACCGGAGACCCCAAAGAATACCACCACAACCCACCACGAGGACATCGAGTCCTCATCAGAAGACAGTGAGGAAGAAGAAGGGGTAAATCAACTCTGGGCAGAACAGGGCACAAAGGACTGGAACGGAAAAAGGAGAGAATTTCATTGTGCCAGTTGCGAGGTGAACCATCCACATTCTGAGTGCCGTCTCCTAGATGCCATCCACAAACACTATGAACGGCGGGGACATATTGCTAGGGCATGCTGAAGATGGAACACACACATACACACCTGAGAGAGAGAAAGACAAACAGGGAGCCATTGGACCAAGACAATAGAAGCAGGCGAGGGAAAGAAACAAGCAATGGAAAGGAAGAAACACACCAGACAGTGACCATCGGACACTCCAGCATAACAAATGCCAAGAAAGTATATGTCCAGGTCACCATAGAAGGCCAGCCGTGCTGGATGGAAGTGGATTCAGGCTCATACTTGTCAATGGTATCATGGGACACCATAAAAAGACTGATACCAGACATGAGCTGGGAAGAACTCGAAAAACAAACACTAACACTGAAAGACTACCAGGGGAACAAAATCCCCATAGTAGGTACCAGAAAATTCAAGGCAACATTCAAAAAATATACCAAAATTCTTCCATTAACCATAGTTGACCAGAACTGACCCATCCTTTTGGGACTCGTATGGTTTGCACCATTAGGAATCGAGGTCACAGGGATAAACAGCATAACCAAAACAGAGTGGGAAGACGACCTGATGGAAAAATTCTGAGACGTATTCAACGGGGAACTGGGAAAGTACTAGGGGTCCCCAATTTCCTTTA